TTATTGTTGTTGTTGGTGGTGGAAATGCATCTCAAGCCATTTGTATTACCAAAGTAAAACAATGACTCGCTCTTAAAGATGTTCGAATTGATTGTATCAATCGATCCTTTGCACTACTAATTTCTTTTTCCGTACTGTATGAATTATTGTGCCGTGTTGGTTTAACCAAAATCGAGGTTAAACCACATGATAACAAAAAGGACTGACATGCCATGCACAGGTTCATGTAAACTACTCCTCCATTAGCTCTCGGAGGCAGGCCATTTGTTGTCCGCTAATAATTTACAGCTTCGTCGGCTCGGCAAACGAGGCTTCCCTCTCTGTGCTCGTATGATTGGCGATATATTATTTGCATTTCAAACATAAAGCATTAAACTGATATGATATCAGAGATTAACAGTATTAAAGAAGATTTCATCGGTAGGACAGTATTGGATCATCGGAATAGGGGCCATTAAATCCAATCTCCTTCATCAAAACAAATTAGACAAAAAAAAGGAGCAAGAACATTCAAATCCTATCTGATGGTTGAGATACCGATTTAGTCGTCCGAAATATAAGTTTGGATGAGAGCTCAGTGTTGTGCTGCTCGTCAAGATCTACAAGGAAAGCATCACGGTCATAAATAATGTTCGTTCCGGACAATAATTGATTCACCCAGACGACCGAGCATGCATGCACATGTATTTGGATCACGTACGCGCTTGTCTCGCCTCAGAATCATGCGCTGGGATTTGAATCCATCCACCCTCGGCTGTTCGTTTTTCTAGCTGAGGAGCAAATGATGCAAAGAGTTGTATGGCGAGATGGGAGGACGACATAAGCTTCTCGAAAAGAAGCAATCGGACGTGGTTTTGTGTGGTGAAGGGAAAAGGCGACGGGAACATCTTTGACGAGGTTTTGCTACACCGTTGGTGGCTCCGACATGAATGGTGAACTTGGGGTGTGTTCTTTTCACCCTCCGAGAACCGTTTGAAGTTGAAGCGATTTAATCTCAGAAGAGGCTGTGATTACTGGAATCTTCACTTTGCTGCAGTCTATGACTAAGTCTTGTCTGGACTGTCCGTGATTCAGTGGATGGCTACTGGCACTTATAGTTCTTTGGTTCTTAGTCCGGTGGCTCTGCATGCTCTGACAGACACAAGTAATGTCTCTTAGCGATAAGGAAGAAGACAACAAAAACCCATCATTTTTTCGTTTTTCTTTTTGTTGTTGGAGCAGCGGTGGATCATTCAGCATGATGCATGAAGCTCATCCGAATCTCCTCCGAGTTTCTTTTTCGGCAATCATTAGGCCTTGATTTGTTGGACGAGGGTGTTTGTGAGGGTTACACACGCGCATCGGAATGATTCCTCTCTCCTCCGCTCTTTCCTAAACCATGCCATGTCCTTCCCCCGAGAGCCGACTGCGCCTGTTGCATCACCCCGTCTCGTCCCTCCGACTGAAACCCTACTTCCTAGGAATATTCTCTCGTCTTCAAGAAAAAGTGGAGGGGATTCTTCCGAATATTTAATGCTACATTTGTATGGCCGAACGAAAGGACAAAATGTCGACGACCCAAAACTTCTTTCCAGCTTGCGAAAGCTGATACTGTTCGACGCTTGCAGTTGTCTCCTCCAAAGCAGTGGATCGAGGATCCAAGTTGCTGTAGGGATCATGAGCTTCGAAATCCTATACGATTCATTGTCGCTGTCATAAGCTACAAGGACTACACTGTGGAGAGAAGCTCGACTACAGAAAAATTGCAGACTTGTGGTCTACGCTCCAACCGGTACGGCACCAAGACAGATGCAGCACGTAATTCAGTCCCCATTTTCCGATAAACGTAGAGAACACGATCCGATCTTACGGATGTTTTATGTATGATACAGTAGGCGTACGCAGGCAGCGCTTTTGCAATTTTACCTATTTTTCTTGCACCGAAACACACGATTAAATGGAGATGGAGTTGTCTTCTTTAAGCAGGGGGGTCGTTCATGAGCAACCCGCCACCACTTCACTTAGATTAGAGAGCTTCGGACTCAAACGACGAGGCTTGCGATATTGGTGCTGGTCATCGATTAATGAAAAGAATAGAAGATAAAAGTAATTATTAAAGAAGCCTCCATGGTGCTCCTGACAATACCAATCTTGGATTGATGCAAAGCAAACAGTTTACGAGCCAGAGGCTTCGTGAGTAGGGTAAGAATAGATTGTTGCTGTTACTGTTACTGCATAAAGTTTCAGCAATGGAAAAAGCTATAGCAATGCTGTAGCAGAGGAAGAAGCTACAGTAGAGGAAGAAGTTACAGGGATGTTGCAGTGATGCTATAGCAGAATAGGAAGCTACAGCAAAGGTGCAGTAAATGAGAAAGATGCAATAGAGGTGCAGCAGAGGAGGAAGCTGTAACAGAGGAGGAAGTTACAGCGATGCTACAATAGAGAAGAAAGCTATAGCAGAGGAGGAAAGGTGGGGCAATATTGGTGGAGTACAACACTAGAGACATCACAACGGAAGGGAACGAACGTTGGCGCAGAGTGATAGTGGAGAAAGCCTTTTCTTTTGCCGCCGGAGGTGGAGAAGCAGAGAAGAAAGCTTGAGTAGAAGAGAGCTTACTCTAAGCAAGTGGCCCTGATACCGTAATGAAAAGAATAAAAGATAAGAATAATTATTAAAAAAAATTTATTAAAATAACTTTAGCTTGAATACATTAACATGTCCCTCTCCTATTTATACAGATTAGGAGTATGTATGATTTTTCTCAACAGAATAGAGGATTTTTCTTAACGAAAAATCCGTTTTCTGAATGTATGTTTCATCTCTTTCCCGAGGACTGCGTGCTTGGTAACGTCGGGCACAGCAATCGAATCCATCATCCATCTTTATCAAGAGATGGAGCAAGGAGCAAAAGCAGCAAACGAAACAAAGGAGAGTAATGTCTGATGCTTTGAAGTCAACAACAATCATTGACTTGATTATTTAAAGGGCAAATAGATACTTAAACAGGCGGCCGGCCGGCGGGCGGGCTTTGGAATTCCGGGATGCAGTACATGTGTCACGTGAATCCAGTGGATGCGATGCGATCCTCGGTTCTCGAGCTCCTCCGATGAGAAATACTGTGACCATATACTTTGTTTTTGCATGCTCCTCGCAGGACCAGATCACGTACGCTTGACTATTAATGGCTCTGATGTCAATGGTGGGGGAAGGGGGGCACCACCCAAGAAAAAGCCCCATTAATTTCGGATGCAATCATCATGGTGGTGGTGCTCTTTCTCGTGATGCTCTACTTTCAAGGAGTGCACTATTTTATATTTTGAGTTTTTTTTATTTTTTATTTTTTATCCAAAGAAAACAAATCGAAGCCTCCTCCATTCCCAACCAAGTTTTGGATGTTAGGATAGAATCGGGAGCGAATCCGTGTTCGAGTAGATATCATGCGACTCGTTTTCTTGACACACAGAGGGAGAGAGAGAGAGAGAGAGAGAGAGAGAGAGAGAGAGAGAGAGGGATGTGATGCGATTAATGGTAAAAACGTGGATGGATGGATGGATGGATGGAGCAGAGTAGGGGGATTGGATGATGGTCCATGGCTAATACAAATTGAATGAATGGTGTTCTGTGCGCTGAGGGCATGCAGACAATACAATTGAATGAATGGTGTTCCGCAGCCTGCTATTAAATTCAATCTCAGCCTGCGCAGACATTTTCTGAATGCAAAAGGGGGAAATCATGTGACTTTTTTACTTGTAGGATTGCAATTTATATCGGCTACTGCATTAAACCAAAAAATAAAAAAGGAACAGCGGGCAACTGTAAGTTAAAATCTCCCTCGAACGCATGCGATGAACGGTATATGCCTGTCCATCCGGCGTGACAGAGCCAGCCAGGTACAGTTGTCTACTAGTTTCTTCACATGAAGTCCATGATTCATTGCCAAATCATACTGCTAGCAATTATTTCTACTGGCCTCGATGATGATGACGACGACGACGATGGGGTGGGTATTCGACAGTCATATTTCCACCTCCAATATCTGGGGCCAGTCGATAGGATACGGCTGGAATGTAGGGCACCAAGTGCAAGATCACCGACCGTCCGAGACTTGTTCGGTAAAGAGATCATGCTTCTTTCCCCCCAACAATACTTTTATTAAGCTCAGAGAATAAAAGAAAAAAAGAAAAAAAAGATGGGCAACTCTCGTTTCAGTGCTGTTTGTTTGAAGTAATATTTATTATACCTAATATATTTCCAGCGGAGACACAAAAAAAAAAAACACATAATTAAGAAGAATCTGATACTAAAGTTTGGACCCAATCTTTCTATTCCTTGGCTGAGGAGCCGTATGAACAGTCCGTCCCAAAGGAATGGGGGAACATGCAATTTTTTTTTGTTTTGTTTGTGGATCACATCCCCGTAAGACCCAAATTTGAGATGCGGCAGTCGACTATCTTCTTCTCATAGGCCCAGTATATAACAATGATCGTTTCAGTTTGACTATCGTATTATAATACTACAACAACAATCTCTTTTATTATCTATCTATCCTCGGTTGGGCATGGAGAAACCCCTACATTCTCCCGTCCCCTATCGCTCATCCCTTGCCGCCGCTGGCTATTTATTATGCTAATGCCCTCTTTATTCTTCCATGTTAATTTGTTTCTTATGATTAATCAGATAGATGCCAATGCCCTCAATTCTTTTATCTTCTTTTTACACTAAGCTATCTCCAAACGAATAGACACTTTGGACCACAGGTAACCAAACTACTTCCTCTGCATCTCTTAACCAAAGAACAATGCCGATGGTAGGGTATTATTACACCACATTAAACAAATCCAAAGAAACCTGAAACAACTACTTTTCTAGTCAGGTAAATATATATCGTTGCAAGAATTTCAGACAGGAAGACAGACCACCATGCGCATACGTGTCAAATTTACATCAAGCCTCGTCCCCCTCCAGGAACCCTCCTTGTCCAAAACTAATTAAATAGAAAAAAAAAAAAAAGTCTTCATGCTGACAAACAAAGACCGACAACACTTGCAATACATTTCCAACATGACATCAAGCAGATTAATTACTCATTTGCACTCGAGGTTGCAAGCCCCATTCCACGAGTTACTGGTAATGCCAACAAAATAAATATACAAGTTTAAAGGCACCAATACCAAATTCAAAACCCCTGATCCCAAAGATAATCACCAAGCCTCTCGACAACCATGTTGCACTGTCCACCAGTCATGGGCTCATCATATATACCAATAATCAATGCCAGATTCGTTTTCTTGACTGTAATCCCACCACTGCCCTGAAAGTCATTTGTTTCGACAAGTCAATCATATAAATCATTAATGCTAACACAACTTCTGGTTGGCCTGTGAACATAACCACTGCCAAGTTTATTTCCATCTGTTATACTACTAATTACACACCAAAGAACCAATTGCTCATCACAGTTTACATATTAAATCTGTTCATGACTTATTACAATCTCAATTGAGCTATGGAATCACCAAATTAATCTGGTCATGCGTCATCCTATTAGACCTTAAATGACATAAACCATGAGAAACCACAACTGCCAACCATATGGATGCACACATACATATTAGCTATGAGTTTAACCTGCCAATTACCAACTTGGAGATTTTTTTTTAATATGAGCAAGGGAGACATAACTGGTTGTCAACATGTTTGTCCATCTTTAAGCAGGTTATAAGCTGCTATAGTTAACATAATGACGGTCTTCTTATTTGTGCATTTTTCAGAAAAAAAGATAAAGAGAATTTTTTTTTTATTATTCACCATAAATTGGTAATACATACATTCAGAAACTTTTCTTAATAGGCCTTTATCGACATATAAGCACAAAGAACAATGTCCATCCATGATAACATTGTCAAACGTCTATCTCTTTCTTCACGTTCTGATGATTTTCTGAATTTCGATCTACGGGAAACTCTACTGTAATTTTCTGCAAATTATGCATGCTTTCATTGACTCCTGTTCTTTGTTTTTTATTCCCTTTCTATCACTTAATGCCTTCAGCCCTAGAGCAGGCTATTGGTCTAGGGTGAGAGTTGCAAGGAAAGTAAAATCCTTTACTTTTGCTCTTCAACCACCCAACGTCAACTTATATCTCTGTCATGGCCCAGTGCATAATTCTCCCACTGATACAGTATCAGGTGAGTTCTCATATACATAATCATAAGCAGGATGTTAGACATATTATTCGTAACATGTTAGACAATTTAGATTTTATACAAGCAGGATCAGATTCCTAAAATATACTCATGGATGCGAAAAAACAATTAGATAAAGTTTGATGAATATATTAACATATTCCAAATTTTAATTTCTGAAAAAAAAACCCAAGTTTGTAAATCATTTATTTAAATAATTCATAGTGTATGTTTTTAGCTGAAACAACTAGAACATCCTCAAGGCTGTAAACATCTAGACATTTCAGAGATTAATGTTAATCCATGTTCTTTACTTTTAGATGAATATGGTTAGCCACTAATAAGTTTGCTAGCAAAACAAGTTTGTATTCAATGGCAGCCACCAGGATTCCTAAAAAATGCCCAAAAACCAGGAGTAGAATATTCATGAGGTATGACTACCATAATAATAGATAAAAGCTGCTTAAATAACAAACAATGACATCTTTGAAGATGGAATTATACAGCAGGACTAGTGTTTCTATGTGAATTAGAAGATCAAGTATATATGTTGGAGCTCATACGAAAACAATATACAAATGTAAATTAGACATCAAAGAAACTGCAAATATAATTTAATTCATAAATAACAAATAAATCACTGACCTTCTTCCCTCGAATCACAACACCCGGTTCACCTTGGATGACCATGTACTTTGTTCCACCAAGAAATAATCCAGTTGGTGCAAGAGATCCAGGATCAACAAAGTCGGTCATGATTGCAGTGATCTCCTCCGGTTTGAACTGTAGCATTGAGATGGAAAGTTCACCAACAAATGATGGACATCAAAAGAAAGCAAGACCAGAAAGAAAATGCTCTGTGACACAAGGCTGGATAAGTGTCCTGTTAGAACATGTTGGCAGTCCAGGATAAGAAGCCGCTCAATGGTCCATATAATTTCAGAAAACTGAGAGCTAAAACAATTGATTATTTCCTTAATATTCATTCCAAAACCCCGACCACGGCCACCCCAACTGAAAGGGGAATCCAACATTTTTTTCTTTCCACATGCACAATATTTCTAGCAAGTACCAACTACCAAAACAATATTTGCAGCGTAGTGGATCTTCCCTTATCTCACCTGATCGTTTTTTCTTCCCATCCCTTCTGCACATGAACTACAAGAATACTCCGTGTCTGAATACTTTCAATTTCAAGATGACAAACTTGCACCAAGTGAGAGCCAAATGTTGTTCATTAAGTGCATAACATGCTAAGAAAATCATAATGTGACAACTTAATACCAACACAAAATTCAGTTTGGGATATTTTTGATACGTTGTTATCATGCAGAAGCTAGTTTCGTTACATTAAAAATGCCCACATGATTTCATCACCATTCCGTCACCGAATGAAGCTTCCTGGTAACTTGTACAAACAAAGGCATATAAGATGTGAAGGCTAAAGTAGTATTGCTGTAGCTATAGTCTCTTTTCCAGGGAGAAGACACAAGTTACTCATCTATGAACTATTTGACAATTCGAACCAGCCTGAAAATAGCTCCATTATAGATAACAGAATCCGTAATCTAATTAATGAGAAAAGAAAAATAATCGCAGACAATAAGAGACACAAAAAATCGTTCTAATAATGATCGGTAGGGGTTGGCACCATAAGACCAATAACAATGGATTAAATAACCAAAATGAAAAGGAAAAGGACTAAAAAAGTATGCATGTTATGAAGATAAAAATCTATGGACAGCTCATTATACTTTCGTTGCTTTAATCGGGGGAAAATGGAAAGAAAATCCTAATTCTCAAAGAACAGTTTACTAATGGTGTCGCACGTATAAGAGCACGCATTCACCAGCCCATGTAAACCGTCCATCAGGGTAACCTTGGTCATACCACAAACGAAGGCAAGGGAGGATCGCATGTATCCATGTGTTAGAAACGTTTCTGCCGCTGCAGCCATACGAGCGTTATCTGTGATTAGCATAAATCGAGGCGATGACGGGCCAACAGGTCCGAACACCGCCGACCAATCAAGAAATCGCTGCGAGCAATCAAAACAAGAAAAAGACACGAGATCAAGAAAGAAAGAATTAGCAGAGCATCCCGGATCCCATAACATGAGCGCCGCCTTCTTTTTCATGATTCTGATCCCCCTTCTCAAAAGAAAAAGGAATGCGAGAGGTGAGAGATCGCGGGCAGCATATTGATTTCGTTTTCAATTGGCTACAATTTATTCAGACCCTCACAAATACAACCCTAATCTCCGTCATACTGCACAGAAGAAAAGGAAAACCTAAAGAAAATTTCAAAAAGGTGAGTCCATAAATCGAGTAAAACCCCAGTTGTGTATCGGTCGACCATCAGATCTGTCAGATGCATCAAAAACCGCAGCCAAGAAAGAACCAATCCGATCCCGATCCAACATGCACAAACAAGAAAAAAAGGGCAAAACCGAAGGTAGAAAGAGAAAATCAACAAGACACGCAGAGAGTGCGGGGGGGGAGAAACCTGGGGGAAGGAAGCGCTCACGGCCCAGACGCTACCGTCATGGCCGAGAATGGCGGCGGCGGTGAGACGCTGGCCGTCAATCTCGCACATCAGGTGGTCGTCGACATAAGTTTGCCACGACATCCTCCCTTCCTCTATCAACTTCCTCGAGAAGACACTTGGCTCTCCCGTCTCTCTTCTCTACCGAGAAGGAATCGGACGACGCGCAGGAGGAATTATCGGACCCAATTAACTTATTGTCACGTGCGCTAGGAAGAAACAATGGCGTGAGACTTCCGAAATGCCACGTTAAATAAGAAAAACATTAAAAATTGTTTGCTCTTATCCTATTTATTTTTTTATCAGAAATATATTTTAAGGTAGATTGATGTTATTATTGATTTTTTTACTTAATTAAAATTATTTATTTTTATTATTTTTTATATTTATATTTATGTATATTATAGTTTGAATGTGATATCAAGATTATCTTAACAAGATAAATTAAAAAATATTATAAATTATATTAGGAATGATTAATAGTAGTGTGATACATATAAAAGATAATATAATATTAATATTATATAATTATTGACTCTAGTTAGACTTAATGTATAAAATATTGATTTGTTTAAAAATTTATAGCTATTACGTAGCTATAAAATATTTTTAAAATTTAAAAAAAATCTAATTAGGTAAATTTATTTTTAAATAAATTTTATTTTATTTATTTTGATTTTAAATTTTTTTATATCTTACTAATAATTAATAGGTTAAGTGAGAGAACATTAGATTATGTAATCCTATCTAAATATGCTCATATTAATCATGATTTCGCATATTAATCATCATCAAAATTTAATCATATTTATAATATATTTTATTTAATTAGATAGAATTATATAATCTAACATTTATTGATCATATACTCGTATGTATGTTGATTATGTGATCCTATCTAATTATTATATTCATAATAATTATGATTTTATATATTAATCGTTACTAAAATTTAATTATATTTATAATATGTTTTATCTAATTAGATAGTATCATATGATCTAACATTTGTTGACCACATATTGATCATATGCTTATATAATTTGAGCTTATTAATTGTGAATATTAAGATATATATTATGTTTTTAGTATGTTTGTTTGAGCTAAAAAAAAGGATGTATTGGCACTATTGAATATAATCTTCACCCACCGATGTTGCGATGAACAAAGGAACAATAATTTTTTCCATCTTTTAATGTTTACATGCATGGTTTTCTCTATATCAAAAAACATTAGAATGCCGAGATGTTTATGGCATCAATCCGAGTTCAAGTTTACATTCTGACCTCCATCTTGGATCTCCTTCTACCAACGTCAAGTAGATTTGGTTGTGCACACATTTTCCATCTTGGATCTTCTTCTACCAACGTCAAAGAATCAGGGATGAGGGTAGAAAGAGAACCAAAGCTACTACTTCTCTTGGTTGCAGTGACACTCGGTTCCACTCGACCACAGAACACAGCATGCGTAGGCAAGCATATAAGAAGATACTGCTGCAGTTGTGAGTTCTGCAGTTCTTTAGGAACAGAAGCTTTTTCTGTGTTAATGCACCACACATCACCCATAATACCTAAGTTGAGGATTATGTGGAGAATGGGTAGTCAGTCACTCACCATAAAGAAATCTTGTAGGATTGATTGAACTTATGATGTTATCTTTGTTTGACTATGTGGTGCAACTTCTGCTATTGGTTAATTCATGTGCTTGTGTGTGCCAAAGAACCCATTCTCTTCCTTCCTGTGATGGCCTTCGACGAGAAGGGGAGTCATTCTAAACACATCACTTTCTGTACCGAAAATTCTTATTAACAAGAAAAATAAAAAAGCAAAAAATACGTGAGCTTACCCCTTTTATGGTTGATTAATCTTCAAATGCACGTAGCAAACGTTGGAGTCCCAAAACACATAGCATCCACCACAACATATCATCGAGGGAAGTCTCGAGGAGATATCACAACTGTGCTGCTGCAAATGTGAATCATAACATGTCAGATTCGATCGGGACCCATGCAAAAGTCAAAATTAAGGCTTTTATAGGTCAACCCAAATTTTAACTTGAATCTCATATGAGGGGTAGCAGCACTACTCTACCACGTACCATACGACCGTATCTTTGATGCCAGTGGTAATATAGCATACGTAAATCCAAATAAGATTCGACCTACGCATGCACAACCCAGTTAGTCAAAGTATTTGCACCTCTCTTCGAGCTATAGGCTCGAGCTTCCTTAGTCTAGAGGAAAAGAAGATGTGTTTGCACCTCTCAGGAGATGAACCGTAGTCTCCTCGATTTTTTTTATTACATTAAATGACTAATAGGACAGATATTGAATAATCTACTGATAACTATTTGGATGTCTTAACAGATACAGTTAATACTTTCATGTTAATACCAATAACATAAACATGTAAAAAGATCTACCTAGTCAAGATATATTTAATTTCAAATTCTTACAACTCATTCTATAGACTCCCAAACTCTTGTCATATCTTTTTACCCCAAGAATTCAAGCACGGAATGGGCGATTGAACCCTTCACTGACATTGGAAGATTTCACCACCAAACAAGTCAACTTATAAGACAGATATCTTCGCTTGGTCGGACATCATCCTCGATCGGGCTTCATGGTCAGTATTCTAGATCTCGCTTCACTCCGAAATAGACTTCTTCCCGATTCTAGAAGCAATAAGATTTGCAGTAAAAGGCATGTATATCTTTCATCTGAACCATTTATGGGCTTTTTTTTTGTTGTTGTTGTTTTTTTCCAGTGAATGGAAAACAAGAGATGAAGTTTTACAAGTTTGATGTATCTAAATCCTCCATACATTTCTCTCTAAAGGAAGAAGATGAAACTGTGCTTTTGTGTCATTACTATGTGATGTTCATGTTGATAAATCTATTGCGTTAAGATGCTTAAAGACATACCTTGGAGATGGCAAGTTTGTCGTAGAAGACGGAATGCAAATTTAAGTTTGGTTTATGAGAGAAGTCTTTGAGAGAGAAAAATTTTGTTCATCATTTAATTTAATGTACTAGATTTAACCATGGGTTCTATATGAGATCATACATTGCATCATGACTATGAATTGAAGGGAAAAAAGAACAAACAAGATCGTCTTGTCCAAACCTGTGTTCTAGCTGATGAAGCTACACAATCTTTGTATAAGAAGAGAGAACAGCCTGCAAATACTATTGATTGGTCTGCTAATTTTCCACTTCGAATGAGATCTCCTAAAAGAAGAAGAAGAAGAAAAAGAAACAAAGTTCTCTTTTAGATTTAGCCCATAGAATGCTGCTGCTGTGTACAACCGAAACACATGAGGCTGTAATGCAGAACAAGTTGGATTAAATTAAGCTACCTTTTTGTACCTATAAATCACATACAGAGACGTCCAAATGAGCATAAAACTATCCTACACTTCCACTTTCTAACCTTTTCCCTTGGCATAGGGTTCTCTTTTGTTTCAATAATATAAGCTGATCTAAACACCTCACTTCCTTTCAAAGACACTTAATGATTAAGGTTCTGCTAGAATATTTATATAATGTAAGTGATTACACCAAGAAATTGTTGAATATTGATTATAAAACCAGGAAAGGTCTTCTTCTGTCTGGCAAAGAAAAGAGGCAAAGATTAAAGGTGGTGGATGCCTTGACTTGATTTCCTTCACTCATTGCGTCCACCAAACCATGCTTTCACAGAGAAGACGTAGAGGAGAACAGCTTGCAGTGTGCAAAAAGGAAGGGAATGCTTTAGAAGAACATCAACCCTAAAACCACCCTTCACCAATCAATCCCTCGGAGCACTTATTCAAAGAGAACAAAAAAAGCAGCGTGTTGATTCCATTCGCCAATATCTGCATGCACCATAAGAAGCTTTGTCGTGGATCATCGAAGTCGAAGGCCGAAAAGAAGCACGATGAGTTATTGATCTGTCTAGTCTAAGGCACCTTCGACGGCCATTTTAATTCGCAGAGAAATCTCACCAATGTGCTCCTGCTTTGTAAAAGTTGAGGAGGTTGATTGGGAGTGCAGATGATACAAAGTGGTAGTCATCATTTGCATTCTTTGTTCGTGGTAACAGAAGCCCGACTTACGTACATCTCATGTAAATGCATGCAGTGTGCACACAACGGAAAAGTGGATGATATATAGCAATCATTTACCATGAATCCTCGTGAACCCAAAGATCAAGTTTTTGCTACTCTAAAGTTGCAATCGAATGCGATGGTAGTCATCTAAAGTTGCAGAAAGCTTTGCTGGTTGCTTTCTATTTGATCCTCGTCCTCGGTGACTGAAACCCCACTTACGTAAACCACATGCAAATTGGTGCAACTGCAGTGTGCATATATTCTTTTGCACCCTTCAAATATGATTTCTTATTTCCTTGTGCGAGTTCAGAAGACGTGTACGTTAGCTAGCCGTAAATGATTTTTTTAGGTTATTGTATTACATAAGTTATACTTAAAGAGTTTAAAAGAAGAATTTAAGAGAATAAGCAAACAAGCAAGAGATCGAATTAATGCCTTATAAACCTTATATATATATATATATATATATATATATATATATATATATATATCTTGTGTATGTTATATTGAAATTTGATTGTTCGATTGGAACGATAACTATTCTATGTTTGTCTATTGGTGTCGAGAGATGTTAAGTCCTCGTTACAAAGCCCTCTAACGTGAGATGTTGAGAGTAATGAGTTGAATGTATATAGAGGGTATGAATATTTTGTTTAGATGATGTACCTAAGTTAGTCTTTTATAATCTGGCTTTAGTATCATTACACTCGTAGATTCGTATTAAGAATGATTATAAACAGCCCTAGTGGAATCAAACTCTACTGATTCTTGTGAACATGTGACATCGATGATGTGATTTTTAACATTCGAGGGATAGGATCATGTCGATCATACGTGGTTAAAATGATAGCGATGTACCATCGTGATGTCGATCATGTAACACCAAAATATCAGTAACGTAGCATCGAAATATCGGGATATTAGCGACTAAGCCGGTATCGATCAAAGTCATAATTTTCCTATCAATAAATATACTTCTGCTGCCCTATACATCACAGCAAAGATTCTGATAAAAGTTGAGAAGAGAAAGCTATAAACTATTTAGGAATAAAACAAATCATCCGATCACTTCCTTACGGCTATAAATTGCAGAGTT